AAACAACTACAAAGACGGAAAATTACAGAGAATCTAAAAATAAAGCTAAATAAAGGCCAAAACCCCAACAATGATCAACCTCATTATTATGTTTTTCAGGGATAAAAACTAAAAGGGAGGATATTGTTCTTGGTACTCATGGGTTATATTTTAATGTAATATTAAAACACCTTCATTTTTACTCTTGCTACTCCCTATTCTTAGTTTGCCTTTTATTTTAGTTCGTCTGAGTAATCAAACCGTAGAGATGGCTAATCAACTTGTTTGTCTTATATTCCTGAGTTTCTCTAGATCAGGACATGACATGTAGCTTTCAGAAATCTTTTAGCTTACTTTGTGTTGTCAAACAGGTTTAATTTAACCGCTTTCTGGATTGAAAGGTTGGCTGATTAAAACTTGCAGCATGATGTAAGAGCAACTTGCAGCATGATGTAAGAGCAAACGCAAAAGAAATCTGTGTGGACGACAAATAATTTTAAGAAAACTATTTATTTAGGAAACATGCGTATACAATACATGGCATTGATTTTAATGTAGTTGTGGACATGAATTTAGTATAGAACATACTTAATACTTAGAATGGGGATGGCAGTATAAATAATCTACTTAGTGTTATTTAGAAGTTTTGTTGGCAGATTAAGGGATAGTTAGTCTTCATGGCTGAGTTTGACATGCAGTAGGACAAATAAGCCACATTGTGTTGTAGGAGGGGTAAAGCCATAGTCTGATATACCCAAAAATGATCCAGTTTGAACATTTCAAGTTTCCAGATGTTTGATCAAATTTTGAAAGCTATAACTGTACGCTCATTCTGTCGTATATTCCAATTATGAATTATTTAAAGGATCAACATTTCATTATTTAAGATTTAAAAAAAGAAGATCTAAATAGCCACAAAACATGCTTACATTTAAAGGCAACCAGACTTTTGCTCAGTTTTTTTCTGAAGATGCTTTTGACACAGGAGTCTTTTCCAGTTATGTTGGTTCACGCCTTAAGAAAACAACTGAGCGAAAGTCTAGGGCTCTTCCAATTTAAGCCTGTTTTGTCGTTGCCATGACCTGGATTACTGGGATTTTACACAGGCATTTAAAAGCTAGTTTTTTGAAGAAATTAAAAAGTATCTTTCAAGATTAACTATGTTAAGATGTAACATACCATCCCTCTGTGTTATTCTCCAGTCTCTTGTTTACATTGCCGGGCCGGCCATGTGTGCCTTACATCTGCGTGCACATACATGTGCATGTGAACCGATGCCATTCAGGACTTACCATATGTAGTGTAGGAGCCAAATGACAGACATTTCAAATAGCAGACCAAAACGTCCACCTATAAACAATTAGGACTCATCCTAGACTGGTTAATAACAGCATGAAGTCAAATGTCTGTTTTTGTTGGTGCAACAGTCTCGTTGGACTTATGTTGCTATGTTGGTTCCATTCGTTGTAATGCTACACTTGTGGCATGCAGTATAATTGTTAGAGTTTGACCAGCAATGGACCAGACGTTACTGTTATGTGAGATGAGTAGCAGGTCACCCAGCTAACACAGTTACCATTGATAATGCAGTCCAGTAGGCCTGTGAGCTGCCCACCATAATCCTCACCTATATTCAGGGTATTCACTTTTTGACAATTAATCTAATGCACCTGTCACACGATTTAGACCAGAGTATGCCTCACATATGGAAAACCGGGCAAAAATGTTGGCATGTTGGATAAGTTATGGGTCAGGTTTGTATAAGTTATGAGCATGCTAAAGTACACTGAAACACGCTGACATACTGGAAGTATATCGAGAAATTTTAAGCATGCTCAAAATTTCTCGACATATGCCAGCCTATGCTTACTGTATACGTTGGGCATAAGTTACAGCTATTTGAATTTTGACATAAGTGTAAATTACTCATTAGTCTTGGCGTCTAGCTTATCCAAAACCTATAAATAACTTGTGCGTAACTTATCGAGAACTTATCTCCATTGAATATCAACGTATTTGACATGTTGCAGACAACAGCTGAACGTGTTTCTAACTTACAGCTACTGTGTAATGGGGTATTGGCAGCGTTTTGGTATAAAATGGGGGTTCACAGGAGGAAACCGTCAGTACTCCTCCAGGGACATGTCATGAAAGCTGTAGAAAATGAAATTTTGTATATCCTCTATTTACACAAAATGACAGTAAAAGTTGTTAAAGTCTATCATAGGGTCAGCGTGAAGGTAAGTGTGATGGATCCTCCCTGCGTTCACGCCGACTACCAACAAATTTCCTAGCAGACATGACGCTGAATCTGCTGTAACTGAAAACCTTTTTTCCTTCTTTTTCTTTTAGGTTATTCTTTTTTTTGGTGGGTGGTAAACAGCAGGTAGGTTAATACCAGGATCAAAGATATCTTCTTATGCAGACCAGGCTCCTCCAGGCACATTGCTGCCCCCCTCAGGACACTGGCTTGTGACATTTCATGGGCTTTACACTGCCAGGCGTTGTTCATAAGTTAGGCTGTCATTGGACATACACTCTGGACTCGTTATGAATACTCCATTTATATGCCCAAAATAGAAAAAATACATTGAAAGTTCAGAAAATGCCAGCATTTTTAGGAGATTCTGGAACGTCAGGCCCCAACATTGAGACAGATAATCGGGGCTAAGATTTTTATTGGAGTTAGTAGCAATAATCTGATAGTTGTATCTACTCTATTAAATGTGTGTAATTAGGCTGAGTTTTTACACTGACATAAACTTGTTTCTGTTGTTTCTTTTACTCTAAATCAAAATTAAGAGCCAAAAGATTGCACAATGTTTACCAAGATCATTTTAAAATATGTATTAATGCAAAAAAGCAAGTAGCAGGTTATTTTACAAGCAAAATAATGTGCATTCAGTTTAGATTTAATATGAGGAACACTAAGATTTCAACAATATTATAAGTATAACCAAATTACCTCCTGTGTGACGTTCTTGAGCTTGATAGAAAGTTGTATTAAAATGTTGTTTTGGTCTGTGGACAGTGGTCAAAAATGCAGCTATTGGTGAAAATCTTCTTATTTTTTTACATTCAGTTTTCAAACTCTGCAAAAGTAAACAGGATGTATGTTTTTAAAATGTTTGCAGCCTTCTCTTTTTATGTACCAAAAAGAATATTTCTACTGGATCAGCGTACAAGAACAAAACATACAAAAACAGCTCTGCCTTAGTCAGCTCTTTAGCACATCTAAACCGGTGGTTTAAGCTGACATTTGTGCTTCAACTTTTTTTGATCACCCTCCTTACAGAGAAGGAAGTTTGTAAACATGCCAGTAATAAGGCTTGATTTATTAGTAAGCACCCTCTAGCATTTTCTGTTCCTGCTTGTCTTAATCATATTTCCCCTATCAAAACTGGTTGGTGCCCTTTTTATGAAAAACTGAAGTTATTTTATTACTTAAAAAGAAAGAAAAGAGCAGCTGCTCCAATTTTAGCTTTTGATGAAGGACAGTTTACAATTTAAATCCTTCATTTGATGTTTTCTCTGCTCTGAACTTCTGTAGCTTTCTGCCACCAAAAAAGATCCAAATTATTTAATTTATCATTGTCTAATTATTTTTATTATTATTGCTGTTTAGATCCTATTTGTTGTGTTTACTACATTCACAAAATAAAAAAAACAGGATATTATTTACATTTAACAAATGTTTATTTCCACAGTTACTTTTAACCGTTGCTGGTTTTCTAATTTTATCTCATTGCAACCTCAAACCTCAACAAATTTAGATTATATATGCCCATTTAACACAAATGTAGAATATTATTGTGAAGCAGAAGGAAAGATATTCCTGTTTTACCAAATTATCTGCCAATATAAATTCGGAAAGTTGTGATGTACCTTCGTATTAAACTTCCTTAACACAACCCCCTATATAAAATCCAGCTCAACTCACTATATCTTAAACAGTAAACTTATACTGTGCATAAACCACAGAATGTGATTTATGCACAGTATAAGTGTATATAAGATGGAAGATTGGGGAAAAAGTGAATCAATGTGCCAGACTATAATATTTTCAGATATCATCTCTTTAAAGATCAAGCATAAGTCATGCAAAATGGAAATCTATTTTTATACGAGTGGCAAAAAGAGGGTCAATGTCAAAAAAGAATCAGAATTAGTCACATTAGTAGTTTCCTGAAAGCAGAGCCAGCATCATGCCATGGGGGATGTTTTGATTTCACAGTGATAGCAAAGCTTAGTCAGAATTCAAAGGAAGATGGGCTTTGCGGTTACTTTACTTCAAAGGTTCACGGATGTGAACTAGTTTCAAAATGAATGTAATTAAAGAACTTTCCTCACCTGTCTGCATTTAATCTCGCCCCAAATACTTGAGAATTTCTGGAGCATGCTCTTTATTAGTCTGGAATAAGCAGGTCTGGAAAATAAAATCCTAGCAGGTTCATTTTATGACGCTGCACAATACATAAGACCTAGAACCTCTTATTAAAGAAACAGAAGTAGAAAAACGGTTTCATTTATTTTTGTCAGTGTTTCAGGAATCAACACTGAATGTCGTTTTAAGTCAACACTTTCCCTTCATCACACACCCAGAAACAAAGGGTGACTCACCATAAAAACAAGGCTATAGAGGTTAGGAATTTAGGAGGAATTCAAAGTTGTCATCCTTCCAGAGAAGAGCGGTAAACTCCAACAAGAGCGTCTCTATTATGTTGAATACCCTGGGAACAGACTGTTACACTTTAATTTAAGAAGACTTTACATGGAACTCTGCAGATCGTCTCAGGATCACTTAATTTTTCTGTCAACAAGGTGCTGGAACTATAATTCATATTTTACATTGGTGCAACCATGCACAGCAATCAAAAACATTTTTTTTCTGCACTACCTCTAGATTTTGCCTGGATTACTTTTTTGTACTTTATTTACTAAAATGTTAGAGCAATAATGAGATATTAAAAGAAAATACCTTATAAACGTCAGATGAGTCCTCTCACATTAAAATGGTCTAGTCAGCGGTATAAATTATATTTTTATTGTGAACATAATCACAATAAAAGCCTCTGTTGGGTACAAATATCACAACATTAAAATGATTAATAGTTGTGGGATGAAAGGAAGAGGAGTCCAAAACATCATCTTTCTTGTTAGCCATCGACACTATACCGTTTAAAAGGAAAAGTTAACAATAATAACAACTTAAGATTGTGCAGAGACAAAGAGTTATCAAACAACTAAAGTTAAATTACAGTACAAATAAACATCCTAACCAAAATATTAATTAAAAATGAAGAGTGTTAAATGCTTCATAATTCATAAATAATGCACGGACAATACAGCAAGTAAAAATATTACATAAACCTAACAAAAAAAACTGTTTCCAAGCAGTTTCCCGTTAATTAACATGTTTTGGTCCCACTGAAGACGTCTTTATTCAAAAGTTCCCATTAAAAGTCCAACACCCTGCAGTTTTCAAGTAAAGCTGGGTGTGACTAAACAGGTTTAAGGTGTGGAGTGCTAAATAAAAACTTTCATTTAGATTTTTTTGTTTTTTCAAACTGACAGCTCCGTAAGTCTTTAATCTCTCTCTGGCACCCTCAGTCGAAATTATTCCTTAAGTCCAACATTTAGAACAAGCTGCAGCTCACTCCATGAAGATGCGCTCTAGTTTCACATTCAAGGGAAGATGGTGTGATGGATATTTCAAAATGGGATAAATCAGTTGTCATGCATGCATGCATGTCCATGAAACAAGGAAATCATAAATCAAACTGTACCATCTCGAAAAGCTGGTTATCATCATATTACATGCATACTGTTTGGAATTAGGAATTCTGAAATGTACATGATATTTTTGCTTCTAAGATCAGGTAAAGTAAACAGCAATATATATTTTAAACAGCTTAAAACTTTACAAACAAAAAAACAAGAAAGCCTCTCCATTGTTGCTGTTTCTAGAAGCTAGCACCACCTGCTGGGAAAAAGAAAAATAGTTCCTTTAATTGTAAAGCCTGATTGTCTCATCCATCTGATCCTATTTTGATCCTACGACTTGAAATCTGGTGAGTAAACAAAAATATGAAGTTGTAAGAATTCTAACTCTAAAAACAAAGCTGTCGTCAAGGAGTTTTCATGAGGCCCTAAAAGTCTCTTCTTTAGATCCGCTCTGTAATCTGTTATGCAGCAATGCCAGTTGTGCATTTTTGACATGATTTGTTAGCAAGCAAACCATTCTCCATCATTAAATAAAACCGACAGGCATATTCTAGACGAAGATTTTTTAGATCGTTTTTGGTGAGACCTGATGCCCTTTAGAAAAATCAGTTTGAAAGGAGCACAGCTGAAAGCCTATAGGTGCTCAGCTTTGAAATAAAAAAGCAGGTAGAGAAGTAACATCTCACAAAGAGAACGTAATGTATGTTACCATTGACATGTCTTCCTGGCCTCACAGTGGACCCTTAGTAATATTTGCTGTGACTTCAAAATCACAACTTAAAAATTGGAGATGATCCTGAAAGCCAAAAATTTTCCACACTTTAAAACAATTCTGTTAATATAGTCTATTTGTTCTTCATTCTGTACATCCACAAGGTTCACCTGATTTGCAGTCTCTTTATGTAATTTAGTGTTGCGAAGTATAAACAGAGATTCCTCTGTGTCTGGCGGCAACATAAAACCACAAGCCAGATGTTGCAGGTCCAGTTTTGGTCATCGCTCCTTATGTCCAGATCTCGGTTGGGACCATGGCCTCCTTTGTCCCGACAGAAGGCATCAAGTTATGTTCAGACAAGAAGTCCAGGGGAAACTGGACCAGGAAGCCTCGGATTTTGCGCAGTTCCTCCTGAGCCCGGGTCTTGTCGGTCTGGGCCAGTCCTGGTTTGGACTGGAACTGCTCCAGCTCAGACATGTTTCTCACCAGGGAAGAGGGAAGGCAACGGAAAACCTGTGAAAAGTCAGGAGGAAGTAATTTAGTTTCACAGCCACATGTGTGTAGCTCTTAAGGTTCCCCTAGGTAAACCCAGAGCTTTAAAAACACAAAAAAGTTTGAAAAATAAAAACACATTTCCACTGATAACCCAGCATATCTTAGCATATGCACCTTTTTTATAAACAGATGACACTTCTATAGGTTTCATTTGGACATAATTATAGCTCCTCCCTGAAATTATTGCTCCACCTGCTTTTTTGTCATTTTATTATGTTAAAGCCACAAACTTCCATTTTTGTTTTTTTTTGTGTTTTTATTATGTGATACAAAGTAGTGGTTTATTGTGAAATTGAAAAAAAAAAGATTTAAGGGTTTTTACTTTAAAATCTGAAAACTATTACATTTATTTGCATCCATCCTGCTTTCCTTTAAACAAGAACCAGAGAAGCAGTCAAGTAGCTCATAACTGGAGGAGCCACATCGATGCACCACTGGTGTGGAGAAATATGCTTGAAAGGGCAAATTATTGTAGGCTGACATAGTCCTACTCAATTCTAGTCAGAATATGAACTTCCTGACCTCAAACGTTGTGGGCGGGACTAAGTTCGGAATGGCACCCAGGGTAAAATTATTGGGAACTTGTTTGACAAATTGAGCCTTAATGGATCAAAACCATGAAAGGGGGAAAGCTATGTACTGCAGAAGTTACAGCAAACATGTGAAAGCTACGGCTACAGTCATTAAAAGCAAAAAAGATTAAACAATGTGTGGGCGAAACTAGCAATTTACATTGCCCTAAACACACCACTCGTATGGTGAAACATGATGTTGGAAGCATGGTGCTTTGGGGAAAAAAATGTTCAGCTGTGACAAAAAATGCAGGTAAAAGTTATTGGAAAATTGGGTGAGACTAACTGATCTAGAAGATTACAAAGGCTTAATAAGGATAAATACCAGAGTAGAGGGAGGTTCGTTATCCAATAGGACAAAAATCTTAAACATAAACTTAAAGCTCTAACGGAATGGTTCAGGTAAAGTATATATGTGTATTTTACCGATGAATAAGGAAATGTTTTAGTTTCTTCATGTTAATAGCCGATACAGATGCTCTCTAAAACAATTGCAGTATAAGGGAGTTCTACAAAATAAAATTTTTTTTCTCCATTTTGTTTTATAAAATACTACAAATAAAAACCATGAATTCATTACTTCCACAATCATGCACTATGAATAATGTGTGGCACATAACTAAACTCTGCATTTATATGTATATGTGTGAGTAATAAAACATAACATAAAATTTTTCCTATCGCTAAATAAAAATGTGCTGCTAAAGGTTGTCTGATCCATTAATTTATGTATGACTGTATGATCTGGTTGAACTGTAAAGTGCCTTTAGATGACATGTGTTGTGAATTGGCGCTATATAAATAAAATGAATTGAATTAATTAACAGTAAATTTTTTTGGTTGTAAGGTCAAAATGTGGTAAAAAATGAAGGCATGAATTATTTTCAAAGCACTGTATGCGCTTGCATATTGTAGAACATGTGCATTTAAATAGTTTTCAGAGCTTGTACTTTTATTCTAACAAAATAAAAATTACACAAATCACTTTATTTTCATAACTCATCATCCTGAATTAAAAGGTCAGAACACTTTCAGTCAGACTTGCAGTCACAGATTCATTGCCTTTTTAAAAAATCGGGAAGGTACCCAGAAAAAACTGTATTATTTGATGATGCGACTAAATTCATAGTCATTTTAATGTTTTCTGCATTTTTTTGTATATTAGATGAAGCGCATATCTCCTCTACCTTCTCATAAATGGTAGCATTCCGGCCAGCCGTGGTCATCCACACCTCCTTATAGAAACGATCGCTGACCGGGTCGGACAGGTCAATGCTTGAGTCCGTGTGTCCACCCAGGATTGTTCTGATCAGGATGAGAAAACAGATAATGAGACGGAACAGAATCTATTTCTTCAATTGCTTATTTAGTCCACTTCAATATCAGTGATCATGATCACAATCAAGAGGACCTGTTGATGAATTGCTGGAAACGCATTTTGTTCGAGCTGACAATACAGACTACAAGACTACTACTTTTTAGGATATTTACAAGCCTCTAATTATAAAATAAGCAACCTCCTGTAAAAAGTGCTGTAAGACAAACGCTGTTTCATCACCTATAGCACCATAAAGATTTCATATTTCAAGAAGGGTTAGGACAAACAAATATCAGTTCTTACTATTGCAAAAAGTAAGAACTGATGTTTAGAATAGAAAGATAAAAGTTCCCAAAAGGTAAATACAATAAAATAAAATAAAATGATCAGCAGAAAAAAAGCCCTGCTGGAAAAGGATACATGACCATTGCTGCTGCATACTGACCCGGTGAATTTTATATTCCAAAAGGCACATTAAACATAATAATAAAATTCCAGAACCAAGTTTAAAAAAGAAAAAAAGAAAGAAAAAAAAAAAGGCAAACAAAAAAGTTTTGTTGAAGTCCAATCAGGGAAAGAAGCAGCTTCCCTTATTTATCCTCTTGTACTAGAATAATAGGTCTGCAAGATGTTATCTTAGTTTGGTATCGTAAACCCACTCAGACTCAACTTTTATTCACTCCCATCCCTTTAAAATTTGAATATCTTTTTAACTTGTCACAGCAAACATGTTGGGACATGCCATTTTTCATTGGTAGGGAAGGATGCAACTGAAAGGATTGTATGACTGATAAAAACATACAAGTCATTGTGGTTCATTTAATACTTTCCTGCCCAATTTTCTTGCCCACGTTTTTTTTTCTATTCCAGAAATTTTAAAGACAGACCACAAAAGAAAAAAAAATACAGTAAATATTAATTTAGCAATTATCCTTAACAGTCAAAAAGTGTTTTTGTTTTCTTATCTTAGCCCTCCTTTGAAATGAGATGTGGACTACTTTATTATGTATTTTAACTGGACATTATTCATGTTGCATTTGCACCAAACACGAATGATTTGAATGGAACAAGCCATTTATATGTTATCCTTATGTAGAGGCATGTTTAGGAATGAAGCAATGCAAAACGCATTCCTAGCGATGTGATAAGGGTAAGGCATGTAAGTGCGAGCGAACAAAAGCAGTGGTGAACAACAAGTGATATTCACTGGAGTTTAACCATCTGAATTTATGTCAATTTGGCTCATGTCAACCATTCTCGGACTTTATGTGGTTGTGACAAAGAGGGAGACAAAGCTTTTTTAAATGAAAATGAAAGGCAGAAAAATGTATGTTGATGTAAAAAATGCTCTTTGGAGTTTTGCAGCTGGCTTTAAAAAAAAAAAAGCCCTGAGAAGAACTGTTTAATCATTCTTAATCTTCCTGCCTCTGTTGCTCTCTGCCCAGCATTTTGCTCTGCATTCCTGGATCCAAACTGGGAGCATCTCTGGAGGGATGCTGACTCTGTTGTTTGGCTTTTCACATTAGGACTAAATTATTTAAATTTGCATCTTCCAAAATGAGATGAAAAGATCACAAACACCAAGCAGATAGATGGTCCTATCTGATGACTCTGTAAAACTGGCAGGTCATTTTCACCGTGACTGTAGGGTGAAAAGTCAAGTGATAAACTGAGCCAAAAAGAACATGGAAATTTTACTGTTTTCACATTCAGTATAAATGGTCTATCTCTCTGATCATAAGAGAATTTAATTATATTATATGGCTTTTATTAATCTAATATAGACATTGTTTTTCCAAAAGCACCTGAAACATTCAAGGCGTAGCTCAAGTGCGTAGGAGCCAGCTTGATACTCTTGCCCATCCATCACTGAGGCCACTTTTTCACAGTCCTCAACAATCACTGCTACTTCACTGTCACGTTTTCCCAGCATACTTCGGTCATTGATGTTTGCAGAACCTACAGAACAAAACAAAAACAAACAAGGCCTTCATTAATTTCCTGTGTACTCAGTTTTTCCACGCTACCCTAAATGAAACTGGGTCAATATTAATAACATAAAAAGTATTGATGTTTTCAATTGAATTTTAGAGAAGTCTCAAAGATAGAAGGCCGTCATGTTAACATTATGTTTGATGGGACATGAGAGTTTCCCCATCTTTTCAGGCCATACACAAAACATAAGATTATTATGGTTTTCATTATCATGTTTGCATGTCTTGGGTGCTTTTTGAAGGAACCTATGACCCACAGTGATAGGTCTTCCGTGATAATGGGCACAGGCAACTGCAATGGCATGACTGCAGCAGACAAGATTCCAGTTAACATGTAAAATAGTCTATGTGCAATAAAAGTGAGAGGGAAAATAAAAACATGCCATGCTTAGGCTAAGGGTGTGCTGTGCTGCTCATGGAATCAGACTCCCCGCTGGAGAGAAGTATGCTTACCTCCAAATTGCACCTACTGTATAAGCAACTGGGGTTGTGTCAGAACGTCCACCCTAATCCCTAAATCCCCTAGTCACTATATAGAGCAGGGACTATATAGTAGACTATATAGTGAATTCAGTTAACTGACCGTTCGGACAGATGATCACTACTTTTCGCTCCCCGTTGGTGGAGTAACTCCGCCTCCCCTCGAGCTTTCCTTGCAAAGCATTTCAGGATATTTCTACTTGTCTAGTGACCATGGATGATAGCTACTTTTCAAGGTGCTTTGTTTGAAATTTCGAGTCCACTACTTTTTCATCCACTAGACATTCTGACATTCATCTAACAAGGCTTAACCAGTATATACTGAAGTACCCTTTATAGTGATTGGGGTGGACATTCGGACACAGCCTGGGTGATTAAATGATGTGTTTTTTTAACCCAGTCAAACAGGAGCTCTGGGAATAAATTTGGTAAATTGGAGGAGAAGAAGAAAAAACAGGACTTAAAGTCCTGCAGTAGGACTTATAAAACAAATTATCCTAGTGTAGTCAGTTAAAATCTGAGATTTTTAATGTGTTGTCCATATTTGCACTAACAGAGATATATGCATAATACACCAAATCAGGTAACACCCAAGGGTTCATAATGGCAGCACAGTAGTGCATAATGCACTGTACCAACACCTCTTACTGTACATTTTTAAAGAGCAAAATCCACATATTTTAAGTCATTAAACCCTTTAAACATACAGAAATACCTTGTCTAAAATTAAATAAGTCACTATCAGTTTTTAAATCACCTTTCAAAGCTGAGGAGCAAACATTTTTTTTAAAACATAAGGGCTTTTTTTTGAGTAACAATCTCAAATATTATTATTTATTTCCTTACATTGTAAAAGACATCTAATGATGCCCTCTGCTAATCCATCATATTACAGTGTGTTCTTGACAAAAAATACCAGTTTAAAAGGAAAGTAATACATTCATGTGTGAGAGTTTATTGGTACGCAGGGAACGGATAACCTGTGCTACTAAGAGTGACTATTTAAAAACAACTTCAAGCTGTAGAAATAGAAAAAACATATTGAAGAGGTTGGATTTCTCATCACCCCTCAAAATGTGTGTTTTACATGATGCGCCTCAGATTTATTAAACCGATGAGCAACACGGTTCATCCAACGGCTACAGTGGCCAGCTACAGTCAGTATCTAGATTCCTCCAAGCTACATGCTGCTGTTGTTTGTGAAAATAATAAGTCTTAGTTAAATAAATGTCGTAGTTTTTCTTAAATCAAATGTTTCCCTGTACAAACTGATGTGTTCAGACTTTTGTCATTAATACTGCTCTCTTTAATCACCAAGTCTAAACTTTGATCAATATTTATCTAATGGCGGTAACAGTTAGCCATTTTTTTTCTGCATCTGAGCCAAATAAAGCTCATATTGGAGTATTGACTTGAAAAGTTGGTGTTTTAGAAATTATTCTCTATGTGTGTAGCATTAGAAATGTTAGGCTTAAAAAAGCAAGACTGTGTGGGGAAAAATATCTACAGATTATAGAGCTAGAGAGGTGTGACAGATAGTACACCATAAAAAATGTTTGACAGGTACGTCACTGTAGGGTAGTTTAACCATCATTGGAAAGAAATTGATTGATTGTGTGTTGAAATAGGTGCAATATTAGAAATAAAATATAGGCTGAGGGGTTACAATAGTTTTTGTGGGGAAATTGGGTCCTGATGATCAGGGTATTAGTGCTGCCAACAGATGAAACATATATTGTAGTTTGTAGACACTAGAATGGTGTTTTGCATACGGACGGCTTGCTGCAGAAAACTACAGAGAGAATCTGTATCCTGACATTCCCCTACTGATTGGATACACCCCTATATAAATATTTGCTCTATGAGCTCACACTCATCATTGTGTTGATCATTGTGTTATGCATTTGTTGTTCTATAAACAGGCTCATCCCTCATTGCCAGCTTTGGACTGTGTCCTTGGCTACCTTTTGCTGAGATACTTCTCCAATTGTTTTTTGTGTATATTTCTAAACTTGAATGTATAGTGGAGGATTTTCACAGTTTTTTAAAAAGACCCACCACTCTGTACCTGCTCCCCATAGGGAACGCCCTTTAAAAACATGCAAAAACATGCACAAGCCCATTTCCCTTCGTGCACGCTCTGTTTAAAAGTTGCTGTTAAGTGCATTTGTGAATTTTTTTTTTGGCCAAAATGTTTTCTGTTTTGTTTTTTCCAGAAAGTTATGAAGACAAATGAAAATTAGTGTGAGCTCTATCATGATGATATACTGCACTCACTTTAAGAAATGTATAAATGTTATACCTGTTATACTGTACAACAATAATATAATGGCAAGGACAACAGCAAAAAGCAACAGGGAGGAACATGAACCCATATGCAGAGTGCCAAACAACATAAACATGTGCTTACATTCCAGCTCAACAGATTTTCAAAGTTACTGATATCATGAGTTGCCTCATGGATCACTGATAGCTTGAGATATGTCTGACTCCATTCAATGTAAAAGGGGTTTATTTTAAATGAATACACTTTATACCATTAAAAATACCACAAAAAAAATGATCTGGAAATAAAATTCCTACTATAGAAGCTGCAAAGTTCTTATTCTATGTGCTGTTGGTTCACGTCATTCCCTGTTGACATGTGCTTTTTTTTACCAGCAGATGGCACACTTTAATCACACATTCCCACAGCGTGGTTTGCACATTAGTTGGCTGTACACATGGTGGAAGATGGGTAAATGGAGCCAGACACCAAGCTTTCATTCATTTCTTAGTGGAAAGGCGAAGAAGTAGAATGCCTACAAATAGCAGCTGATGAGAATCGCACAGGAAGTAAGAATGACAGAAGGCGCGACTGAAGACTAACCAATGATGACTGTGTTGTCGTCAGCGATGAGCATCTTGCTGTGGACGTAGATGAGCTCTGTGACAAGGCGGCCCTCCAGCTCTGCGTGAGTCCGCAGACCAGCAAAGGAGATGTAGTTCATCCACTGGTCATCCACTGGGAAACATTAAAGGACAAATTATAGTTAGAAGATACAAAACTCTTATGTTTAAGCTTAAAATCTCAAAGTAATAAAACTTGCAATGTACTTACTCTCCTTTTTTAATTGGGAGATGATGGAATGTTCTCCTCTGATCATTGTTCTGGGTAAAAGTAAAACAGCATTGCTCAGATGCATTCATATCAAAACCAATTTACATTTAGAAATGAGGCTGTACTACCTGTAGTTAAAGTGCATCACTGCCTGGATGGCGTTCCCTCCACCTGTGGTGATGTCGCCCTCAAAGCCAGGAAGCAGAGGGGTGACCACATACACTCTGTACTTTTTACCCTCCCTAAAAAAAATTAAGATATTTTCTCAAAACACTGACTATTAATTGGGAGCAGTGCTATAAGAAAGCAGGAGCCAATATTTAGTTTTTGTTACATTTATGATGCATAAAATAAAAATAAGGGGAAATTCTGGATAAAACCTTTTTTTAACACTGTTTCTACTTCTTAAACAACAGAGAAGGGAATTACTTGTGTGCCCGGATGATCCTTTCTATGATAGCATCGCCGATCTTGTTGTAGACCGTTCTGTTGTCCGCACAGCTGATGAAAAACTGGTTCTAAAATAGAAATAATCAAATCAAATGAAAATAATTTTACAAATCTCAGCCAGACATTACATTCTCAAAAAAATAATTTCAGCATAATAAGATACCCCAGTGTAGCGACATAAACCCACCAAATTAATAACATAAAGAGCTTCAGCTATTCAGATTTTATATTAACTGTATGTTTTACAGTCCGTTACTATGACTACAGCTTATTTAATATCTATATATGGAGGTTTTGATCCAGTTGTTTTACCAGAATTTCTTTCACTGGCTAAACGTTTTTTTACATCAACCCCCACCCAAAAAAAAGAAACTGGGCTCATGAAGCCCAGCTTTTTGGAATAATGTAATTTTTCACAAAACCACAGTGTTTGTCATGGTTTGCAACTGTAATCACATTGAAAGACAGACTGCACTTTTCTTTCAGTATATGTGCCATGTGATCTGCTCTGTTCAGACAAATTAAAGCAATGAATTTTTATTTTTTCATTTTAAGTTTTATCTTAACAGCATGCTTTTCGCGAGTGCCACCAAAGCATGCTATAATCCAAACGATCAACAAGGTTGTTTGACAAAACTGTTTGTAGGTTAAGTAGGTTTTTTTTTTCCACCATCTAGGGTATAAATCACATATAACCTTCACAATGACCAAACAGACAGGAGTCATGATAGTGTTAGCTTTTCACTTTAACAGAGTTCTGCATAAAAAAACATCATCAGTAAGAGCCAGAAGTGACTGTTGAGAACTGCTACCATATGTTTTGGGTACCCTTACAATAAAAAAAAACTGTCTTACAGTCCTAGACAAATTATCTGTCTCTGTACTGGAGTGACCTGAACATCACAAGGAAGTGCAATTTAATGCTACTGAGTTTTAGTGCTCAACTCTGGGTGGATCAAAGAGTTACCTGTGAGAAATAGTGCAATTACAAGATATCTCTAGGTAGTAATGAGGAGCCAAAGCATGGAGTAAAAAGGTTACAGTTTACCAAAGAACACACTGACTGGCCTAAGGTGAAATGTTGCAATATTTTTGGCGACTTATGAAAACAGTAATGTTTTTTTAGGGTCTTGTGCTGCAAAAAGTTCTTTAGATCTTGCACCAAACATGATCTATTGCATGGGTTATGCTTCATGCTAAAGATCTTGGTAAGGAATAACCTAGTTGTGTTCTAAATGCTTCTGCTTATAAAAATAAATGACAGCTTGGAGCTTTACTTAAATTTCTACACGTTGCTAAAATTTTTAACACAACTCTAAATGGCATTAATGAGGTATAAAACTAGGATTTGGTAATGGCAAAATGCCTTGCAGTGGTAATGGGAACCAGAAGTTCTTATAGGGAGAACACATTATTAAAATAATGGCCAAGAACGTCATGTATTGTTCTTTCAGTGGACAACATAATTTTTGAATCTTATAGCTTTGAGAGACCTCTACCATCATACTGCAGTAAAGTACAAATTATTTTGATTTTTTTTTTTTATGTGCTGAATTTGTAATATAGAAATGTCTAAGTCTCACTTCTGACTAAGGTACACACTTATGAAGGACCAACTCTGCCATATTTAAAAATAAATACAGAAATAAATAAATGCTCAATAAATGTATAAGCATACAATTAATTGCCAACAAAAAAGTGAGACATAAATGTATATAACTCTTAATTAGCTTCTTTATTTATTTGCCTTTGTAATATTTACCTTATTTATTTTTCTGTCTTTTATAATCTTCAACTTTATTTTTTAATTACTTATATTTTTAAGTATTTATTTATGTGTATGTTATAATATTTTTGTCTGTTTTATTCTTCCTTTGTATTTTTTTTACCTTAGTTATTTCTTCGCCGCTGTTTATTTCTCTCTGCCCTTTTTACATTTCTCTCTGCCCTTTTTACATTTCTCTATGCATTTCTGTCTCATTATGCAAATGAGGAGGGGGTGTGTCCTAGAGAGTCAACTTCTGCTCATTGGTTGGCTTGGCGGCTCATCTTCTTAACTCACAGAGCTCAGAGTACTAAGTTAAATTTTCTCTTTTCTGTTGCTGTTGTTCAATTAAAGTATGTTTTAAGATCATTTGAGGCGAGAACCTTATACTTTTAAGCATCACCATATGGCCCATTCACAGATTTAATGCGTAATTTAAAAGAAAATGTGACGAACTTGAGAGGACCGTGGCAACCAGCAAAGCTCCGAAGCTGACGGCAGCCAGGTCTAACCACAGCCCATCTGCAGCGGCCCTCTCTCGGAATAGCCGTGTGTGAAGAATCGCTGGTGATGATGGCGATTTTTTGTTGCAGCGGCCCTCTCTCGGCATAGCCGTGTGTGAAGCGTGTTGGTTAGCATTTTACTACATCGGTCGAATCTACAGGAGGAGAGTCTGATGTCGAGTCTGAAGTCATTAGAACTTGAGTAGGGACTTTGCCAAACTTTGCCAAATACAACAAAAAATCGCCATCATAGCCTGGCTATAGACCTGGCTGCCGTCAGCTTTGGAGCTCCGCTGGTTGCCACGGTCCTCTCAAGTTCGTCACATTTTCTTTTAAATTACGCATTAAATCTGTGAATGGGCCATATGGTGATGCTTAAAAGTATAAGGTTCTCGCCTCAAATGATCTTAAAACATACTTTAATTGAACAACAGCAACAGAAAAGAGAACATTTAACTTAGTACTCTGAGCTCTGTGAGTTAAGAAGATGGACCGCCAAGCCAACCAATGAGCAGAAGTTGACTCTCTAGGACACACCCCCTCCTCATTTGCATAATGAGGCATAAATGCATAGAGAAATGTAAAAAGGGCAGACAGAAATGAAAAAAGGCCATAGAGAAATGTAAAAAGGGCAGAGAAAAGGGCAGAGAGAAATGTAAAAAGGGCAGAGAGAAATAAACAGCGGCGAAGAAATAACTAAGGTAAAAAAATACAAAGGAAGAATAAAACAGACAAACATATTATAACATGCACATAAATAAATACTTAAAAATATAAGTAATTAAAAAATAAAGTTGAAGATTATAAAGGACAGAAAAATAAATAAGGTAAATATTACAAAGGCAAATAAATAAAGAAGCTAATTAAGAGTTATATACATTTATGTCTCACTTTTTTGTTGCAATTAATTGTATGCTTATACATTTATTGAGCATTTATTTATTTCTGTATTTATTTTTAAATATGGCAGAGTTTGTCCTTCATACACACTAAGGCCTCACATCAGGAATTGCAATATTTAGAATGCAATGTTAAGTATCTCAGATTATGTTTAAAACTACTAAAATGCATTTTTTGTTTTGTAGAAGGAAGATATAACACACAGTAACCCCAACATAGAAATAGAAAGAACATGCAAAAACCCCAAAAAAGCCACAGAATTACCCACAATAAACCCTCCCCTTTCTGTGTCGATACTCATAGTGAGATATAAAGAAGTGCTTAAACAAATCTATAACAGCCACACAGATGCTTTACCTCTATATAGATGTAATGTTTGCTCTTGGCGATGACCTGGATGTAGGCATTGTGAATGGACTCCTCGTGGTATTTTATGCCCGCTGACCAGTCTGCTGCAGATCGCAACACCTTATACAAAAAAAGAGTTAACTGAGAAGTGCTTTCCAAAAAACAATGTTGCTAGGAAAAAAAAATACATAATATAAAATGATTTTGTGAATTATAATTTTGGAGAGGCAGACAACTTAAAAGCCTTTCAAACTAAAAACTTCTTTTTTTTTGTTTTGTTTTTTTTGCAGATCCAAATTATCCAAACCCATAGAACCCTTTTTAAGAAAGCCAGAAAAAACTTTAATGTAAAAAAATACTAAAATTAGTTTCCACCACTTTATTGTTTTAGATAAATATAAATTTCTTAATTTTAATAACTTTGTTAACTTAACAAATGCTTGCCTGATTTATAAGGTGTTATAATGATTGGCCCATTTAAATCTTGGTCTATCAATAAAATGGCCACTAGGGCCGCACCTTGAGGGGACTGGGACATACCATGCAGGCGCACTGCTTTTGGATAGAAAACAGATTCCTAAACAGTGGTGCTAAATACTGGAATAGCCTTTGACGCGACATAAGAATACCAGAATCATACAACATATTCAAGTAAAAACCGAAAGACTGGATGAAGGAAAAATCAAACCTGTGGTCATCAGTAAGGTGCCCTCATGATAGCATTTTGTGTGTGTTTTTTAAAAATGTTTATCGTTTGTGTGTATGCGTATGTGTATGTGCATGCATGCAAATATGTTGTGCATATGTATGTGTGTGTATGTTCAAGTATCATGTGTTATAATGCTTGGTCTTTCTGTATATTGTGTTTTTCATGGTCACCTACCTAGAGACATGCAGATGTAAGTAAGCTATTGTGCTACAATCTGGTATATTTATGTTGTGGACGTTCATTAATATGCACTGTCCCTATTAAATAAATTAATTAATAAATAAATGAAATGAAAAATCAGCAGCTGTTATTTTAAAATTAAAACTCTGCTCAACTCCAACCTTCCTCCAATATGTTATAACATTAACTAGCTGCATCTCTTAGTTGTTTTTGTTTTTTTGCAGAGTCTAAGTCAAATGAATAATATAAAGTATAAAAGACCTCTCTTCCAAAAGCCAACATGATAGAGTTAGCTCAAAGCTTTCATTCACTATTGTAATTTTTTTTTCACAGTCATTGGTCAGCTTATAACTAATGCACTCACTAGCTAGTATTCACAGAGAAGTATTCACAGAAAAGTGAGTCCTGACAGTTGTGGCTATAAGAGTTGCAATGGTCAGAGTTTATATACAAGTAAGATCTTCATACTCTAATAAGAATTTTAACTAAAACCCAACATATGAATCCTATTGTCTAAATCAAAAAGTTTTGCAGTCAATTAATTGTAATGAATAGAAATCATCTACAGCTTAATGCATACAAACATTTTGCAGGTCATTATAATAGTTTTACCTGAACTGTTTGCATCTTAAAACCATCTTAGAAGACAGAGAGCTTTAATTACAAAATACTGAACTAATGATGTTATCTCTAATCTGATATTTCAGAAAAGCAGCAAAAGTTGTTTCTTTTTATTTTCTCTCTGCTTACAAGTAGGCATCTTGTTACATTATGTAAATTATCTTGGGCCGTAGGAATACTTCTCTCTGTTATCTGTTTCCAACATTCCTTAAAGAGGTTGGGAAATGTTTGATAGTGGGAGTTTATCTTGTGAGTTTCTTGGATGTCCCCTTTAAATCTCCCACCAGACTGAAAGAGAAATGTCTAAACCCACTTTTAAACGTATTCCTTCTTTAAATTAACATCTGATCACGTTCCCTTACTTGCACTCTTGCATTGACACTTCCAGGAACTTGGTATTTGAGCTCATTAGCAGTGGAGTGGGACTTTGGCAGGAGGAAAGGGTAAGACAGAGAGCGGTACTTTGGCTTCATAATCTGTAAGACACATAGTTGTAGAATTTAAAAGGTAGAATTACAGTCAAGAAGTATGTTTGGAGAAATTCAAGCTTAGGAAATGAAAGGAAAAAGTAGATTCCATGGAAATTATTAACACAGGGGTGAGAGCATTTTCCCACTACCCCAGTCAAACATTCCAGAATTAGCCAAGTCTTTCCCTCCTTAATGTTTCTTTCCATAAATATAACCACCCTCTCCTACTGAAAGCCCAAGTAAACTTAATTTAACATGCAGTTAAATACAAAGATCTGACTAGTAAAAAAACACTACATTTCACAAACTATAAAGGTATTCTATACATGGACAAATCTTTATTCATCTCATTTACTTTATTCTTGATTCTTGTATATTTTTGGTTTGTTTAGCGTGTTCATTATTTTACTTTGGTAAAGTTCCACCGCTGGATGAAGTGCCTCGCCACATCCCGGGCGCCTCTCCCATGGACCACTGAGGCGATATCGTGCCAAGGCATTCTGGGAGTGGTGTACCGGTCAATAAAGTCTAAACAGGGAAAAAAAAATTTTTTTAAACAAATAAATAAAAGAAGAATCTAAAACAAGAAAACAACCATAAACATACATAGCAAGAGGATTAAAAAATATTAATCCTGGTCAGGGTTCTAGTGTAAACAATAAGAACAATTAAGTGGTGTAAAAAAAAAAAATGCATAATGTATTAGTATCAGTATTGGGATTCCTATCAAAGCTAATTCCAAGAAAAAGCAGTTTAGGTGTAGAACTGTGTATCTGTGTACCAGACCGTCAAAAGGTTTCTCCAGCTGGATCCAGTCCTTGTAAACAAAGTTGCAGTAGTCTTTCCCATGCCAAAAGCGGGTGTTTCCCTGTAACTCGCCAACACCTGTTTTCAGGCTTTTCACAGAACCACTATCTGCACACAGGCACATGTTAGGAAAAAAAACAAACAGATTAACACCTTAATAGGTTGAAAATAAACAAAATTGTCTTTTTTTTTTTTTTTACTAAATGCACCATTTATTGTCTTGCACAGAAGTGAAATGAGTGAAATGTGTCATATTTTCTCTGAAGCTTTCACACCTGTGCTATCCACACTGCTGACGCTGTCCACGTGCTGCATAGTGTGTTTTTGCAGGTGTCGGTAGAGACTGAAGCGAACCATCCTGCTGCGGCCGACGCCCTTCAGCTTGGGTAACTCCATGGAATCAGCAGGTGGCGTCCCTCGCCCATTGCTCTGCGAGACGCCATCACCAGTAGACACACCTTTATCATCGTAAGAGCTGGTTGAGCCAACCTACCAAAAAAAGTCCATAATAAAAATATATGAATCTGACTTCTTGACACTGCTAAATAAAAATGTTCAAAGATGACTTTCTTCAGTAAGCAGCATACTTTTTTACAGTGGTTTATCTTTGTCATGCAGCTTGAAACAGAAACAAGCCACCTAATAAGGCCATGAAAAATATACAATATAATACATTTGTTCAAACATTCAGATTGGATTTATGCTCAAAAGCCTAGCTTCTGATAAATTCAGTTCTAAAAGAAGCTTGATTGATTACTTTATAAACAGCTAAAACCATAATTATTCATTTCTTTACAAGATTAAGATGTAATATCATTTTCATAAAATATCAGTTCTTGAAGGTTTATACAACTATAAGAATTGGCATCAAATGTGATTAATAAAATTGATTTTTGGATCTGAGTGTGGAAATGATTTATGCTTGTTTCAATAATAAGTGAAAAAAAATCTTTTATTCTCTTTGAATATGTTGCTGACTAATTTCAGGCATCTTTTTATTGCTAGTTATATGTGATGATGAGCTCCAATTCTTTACGATTGGATGGCCTCTGTGCCATCACCCTAATATTTTGCAGATGTCTTGGATCAAACTTTGTACTCAGGCTGGGCTGCTACAAAATGTTAAGATAGCACTGAGATTGTCTGAACTTTACACCTGCTATCTGTTCTAATATAATAACAATCTCTGTTCCTTTATTTGCTTTTTGATATTATCATTTATCTGGACTAAGAAACACATTTATAGCCAATAAATCAAAAGATTGGGATATTTTATAAGCTGACCTGCTCAAGAGCCACAGAGCGTGTCACACTGCCCACATCTGTCAGTCGATGCTCGGTGTCATCCCACCGACCGTATGCCAGGTCGATGCCGCCCACAAAGGCCACTGATTGGTCGATAACCACAATCTTCTCATGATGGGCCCACAGGTACACAGAGGAAGAGACGTGGTCTGGATGACGCATAACCTAAAACACAAGCATGTAAAGCTGACTGATCTTTTTGCTTATGAGACCTTCGATTTCTACGTGTGATGAGCCTGAAAAAAATGCCACTGCTGTGATCTAACCCCTTACCTTTATGTTGGGGTGCAAGTGCATGAGTGTTCTTTTGCTGTAGCCTGAGTTGATTCCCAGGGCGAGTTCCACCTCCTTGTAAAGCATCACGAAGATCCTTACTCCCATTTGCTGCATAGATAAAACGAGGGGGATTCATATAAATGTATACATATTCAGTCAGATGTTTATGATTAACTGTTAGATATAAATTTGGATCATTATAACAATGGATTACAATGGGATTGTATATACTACAACAACAGAAATTTGAGGTGGAGGTTAAAAGGATACGTGGTTTTTACATTTTTTTATGAAAAAAAGATGTAATATTATTTAATCACTCTGAATCCCAACCAATTCCCCAACAGATTTACCAAAATAGTAAATAGAGCCGGCTCGTTCATAATTTAACCTCAAGATAGATCTAAACGATCCATGAAAGCATCAGAGGTTTGATCATTAAAAAACAACATCATGAAGACTGAGGAACACCACAAACAGGTCAGTGATAGGGATATGGAGAAGTTTAACTCGCAATTAAGTAATAAAACTATGTCCCAATATCTCTTTCATTGAGCACCATACATTTATCACCTAAAATTGTAGATAGTTAAGCAAAACAAAGCACAGCTGCAGGCAAATCAGTATGTAACTTCCTACTGAAACTGAGAGGCCTGACATAGCAACATTCAGTATAATTAGAGAAGCACCCTATGAGCCCATTTAATGACTTTTATGGTTTCTGTTCTAATTTGCGGACAAGCCAAGTAGGGAATCCAGTAAAATGAAACATTTGGGCGAAAAAAGAATAAACAATTCCAGGGGGTTTCTATTTTTAAGAGCTCTACAAGATACCTAACTTTTCTTCTAAAAAAAAAAAAAAAAAAGCTAATCTTCGAGTGTTCTTTGATGAAACGGAGGTTAGTGCGCACGACCCATGGGCCCTTAGTCCTCAATGTGCCTGACCTGGGTTCGAATCCGACCTGTGTTCCCCATGTCTCTCCCCCTCTCTCATACCCCCTTTCCTGTCAGCCTACTGTTGAAAAAATGAGCCACTAGTGCCGTAAAAACTCAACAAAATAAAAATTTGCAAATCTTAAAAAAAATGAAAAATTGTTCTCTCTCAAAACTAAAAAATGCAAACAATGTCATTTACAAAGTGAATACAGATAAATATGGTGGTTGCAGTATCACTTTGTGGGGATGGTTCTCTTCTCATAGTTTATGTGAGAAATTAAGCTGCTAAAAATATAATTCAGAAAGCAAGGCAGGACTAGAAAATTTATTTATTTATTTTTAATTTAACAGACTTTGTATAAAATCTGGATTAGCTTGATTTACTTTGCAAAGATGAATGAGCATCAGATGTAGTCTCTAGGTGTAAAAAGCCAGAAATGACTCACTGCTGCAGTTTTGGCAATATGTGCTTCTATAAATGACATCTGCATAAATGCAGACTGTGGAAGAACCACAGTACTGGCTTTATTGGACCTTAGAGCAGCTGTCAGCACTGTTGATCACTATTTTATGAGAGAGACTGGAAAACTGGGTTGGCCTTTCTGCTATAGCACCGGACTGGTTTAAATCCTACTTGAAGGACAGAAACATCTTGTTTGTTTTAGGGGTTTTTTTTGTGTAGTTTTCTTCTGTTTTGTTTTTTATTTAGGACAGAAAAAAATTTGTGTTAGTAAGTAACTTTATATCAGAGATCACATATGTGTTGTTCTCCCAGGGTCCATCTTGGGGCCCATTCTATTCAATATCTTCCCATCACCCCTACAGTAACTCAGTTTTTCATAAACAACAACAATACGAGTTGCCAAACTATACAGAAGTCACACTGCTATACAGTACATTACAATGTCTCCAGGTGACTATGAACCAATTTAAGCACTGGGTAAGTGCATAGAGGATAGACATATTTTTGTTCTCATCTGAATCAATACAACACTAAAATAATATTTTTCGGACCAAAGGCTGAGCTAAAATGTAGCACACAGCTTCAGTTATTACAGGTGGAAATCGCCAACCAGCCCTGACAGACCTAAGTGTAGTGATGGACTCAGACCTGAACCTTTAGAGGAACATAAACTTCGGCCTAGGGCTGGGCGATAATTCAATAACGATATATATCGATCGATAGACGTGTGGCGCAATAGAAAAAAAAAGAGGGTCGATAAAAGTTCGATAAAGAAACGCAGTTTTCCTTCCTTCTCATTGTAGCCTATCATGTAGGTTTATGCTAGTCACTACTTCCTCCCAACCAATCGCAATAGCGGACCCAGGCACGCGTTCACAAAGCGCCGCCCTCTCCAACCACAACACAGAGCACATGAAGATGTCGCAGCAAGGAGAGGTGGAGGAAATTGCTCCAAAGAAGGGTTTTTTTAGTTCACCAGTTTGGCAGTATTTCGGTCATGGCAAGTCGGATAAAAAACAAACCACAGTCATCTGTGAAATGTGTCGGGAACCAGTGAAAACGAAGTCTGATAACACAACCAACTTTTTTTTTTTATCATCTCAACCGCTCACACCCGCAGGAGTACGAGCTGTGTGGGCCCCGACGCAGCTCTCCTCCGAGGAATCTTCGGGAATTTCGGGAAAAGAAAAAAAAAATTATATATATATATTCAGTTCTGGGCAGTTTCCCACATAGTTCTAACAACTGAGAGAAAAATGCTGAGGGGCCAGAAACTTGAAAGTAATAACTCAGGTTAAAGCAGGAACCTAAGCTGAACCATAACGAGGTGCCAGCAGCACCTCTAGAAGAAAAGGGGGGAGAAAAAATACCCCATAGAAATGCTAGGCTAAAGGGTGAGTTGATTTGGGTTTTTGTTCTTATTGAGTGGAGTTTACATGGTAGCCTAGTCCTACAATCGTTTAGTTACCACAAGCTGGTAGTGTACTATTCCCACCAAAATAGGGTATTCTATTTATTTATTTGTTACATTTATTTTTGGTCACTTTTCTAGTCACTTTAGTTTATTCTTTGTCAGCATTTAATAACATAACTCAGGTCTCTTAAGTTATTTTTCTTAAAAACAATTCTGTTATGGTTAAAAAAGTTGGTTGAATAAATATTTAATTGGAAGTCTGTGTTTGTGTTCTTTATTAAGTCATTTAGCAATATCATAAAAAAATCCAGGCAGAACTGCACATAAAATATGGTTTCAAATCTTTTCAATAATTATCGATATCGATCAATATGCATTTTTTTTTTATCGATAAGCTTTTTTTCTATATCGTCCAGCCCTACTTCGGCCCCCTAACACCTACAGAACATCTCCAGGATCAAAGGACCAATGTCTCAGCTAGATCTTATGTTTATGTAAGGCCATCCTCCGTTATCGTCTTTTTCACCTACCGGTGGTGAGTCTGTCTCAGTGGAAAAATTGCTAATCCATTTTGGAAAGGAAGCTTGTATGAGCAATCCAAACAGCAACTTTTAAACACAGTGTGCACGAGGAAAAATGGGCCAGTGAATGCTCTCGCACACGTTTAATAGGCGTTCCCTCTTAGGAGCGGGTACAGGGTTGTGGATGTGCATTTTTTTTGTGGAGAGGGCGGGTCTTCCGCATTTGTGCTGCCTATATGCAAGTGCAGCGTACTCTCCTTTTTGTTTCTCATGTAAACTTGCTTTCATTTAGCCTGCCTATACAGTATTGATTAATGAGGACTTAATTACATTTTTAGATTGTTAACAAATATGCTTGATTGTACTTCCACTTCATAAATACAGTATGTACTACTAATCATTTTCTAACAATTTTCATTTAGGAAATTCAGGGTTTTTGCACACAAAGTTCCCACAAAACTCAGTATAGGACCTCAGTTTGTATATTTCTGTTAATAAAAGGCTTGCTTACTGCTTTGCGTTTTAGGATACAGTCCAGTCTCCATCTGTTGCCCTCTACAACAGGTCTCTTAAGGAAAATCTCTGGACTCAGCCTGACAAAAGAAGAAGAAAAAAAAAAGAATCAGAAGACACAAGGAAGAAATAAATGGCTGATAAATATCACAAATTCAATAAAATCTTCACAGAAGAGAATTTTTAAACTTGCACTAATCTGGTTCTCTATAATGCCCAGTCTACAGAATGACAGACATGACATAATGATGTAGTCTTATGAGCCACACTCATTGGCATCCTGAGCTTATGTCTGCAGCTCATGTTACACTGGCTCACACCTCATTGGTAAAGAGCCTAAGCCCAGTGATTACTGCTTTGGAACGCTGGGATTTCAGCAAAGCAAAATGCAGCTACACTGCTTTTGGCTCTGTGGGGACCAGAAGCAGCCATGTTTGAAATTAAAGTATCAGGAATGCTTGAAATGTGACAGTTATGACAGATCGTTTTACTCTTCCCAAATAACAAAAATAAAACAAGGGAAATCTTAATTAAGTAATTGTTCCTATGAAACATTAAGGTATTTAGATTACTACTAGGGTTTTGTCTAACAGGGTGCAGAAGATATAGAAAAATGTAAGCTTAGGAGAGTAAATTATGAAATGACAGAGCGATAAAGGGGTCCAGCAGATGAGTAAACAGATACGGAGGCAGTCTGTGTATTTCTATTCTTGTTCTAAGGCTGTAATTAGAGTCAGAACCATGTTGCGGCTCTCTGGCAGACTCCAGGGTTTGTGGCAAAGGCATAAAATAATGTGCAGGAACATGTGCTTCACTGGCCAGTATAAGTGCCACGCTGTCCTCTCATTCTCTGATAGCAGAGTGACAAGTAGAGAGGAAACATGGCAATAAAACTGTTGTATACATCAGGAGTTGTCACCTTTGAAAGCCACTTAAGGCTGACAGGTGTAAATGGGGTAGCTCTGTGCAGATGGATTGATATACAGTATTTGCAATGATAACTAAAATGTTTTAAAAAAGAAGAAATCTTATTTCTATTATGTTTCCCTTCCCTCACATGTGCATATGGAAACATGTTTCTTGAGGGTGTAATTCATCCAGATCAAGTAGATATTATGATAAAACAACGCAGCAAAATAGAACATGGGTATTTTATTGTATAGGTAACAAACTATAATCTAAGTAGTAGTATTCTAATTCAGCCTTATACATTTACTTTTCAAATATTTTTGTTACCGTCTCTTTAACAACATAGGCAATCATTTAAAGTTATTTTGATGGTAAAGGTACTTGTTATCATGACACATGTAGCTGAGATCATTGAATTGAAGTATTGCTAAAAGGTAGATTTTAAAACTTAAACGGTCAAATGAAATTAGAGCAATAGCAAGGCAAAATCTGCTTGTGTTGGATCACGGTTTTATGCAAAATAGAATACTTACAGGATTTTATTTATATATTTTTTAAGTCTCATGTAACTTCTATCATTTTTGGAAAAAAAAAATATTATTCTTTAACATTGCAGCAGAAACCATGATCAGATGCTCTAAAGCATTTACTGTTTAAATACCAAGCAGAGAAACTTACCACCAGTCTGTGATAAAGATCTCTTCCTTAGCCTCTTCCAAAGCATCGGCCACATCCTCCATGTACGTCTTTCCATTCACATACCTGCACAGACAAAGCATTTAAAGTTATACTTCTGCAGCTCCTCATATCAGCTGTTCCATTCACTCTGCCGTTTTGGTGCATGCGCTGGCACTCAGAAATATCAACAATTCAATAATATGGTTTACTTTCAGATACATGCAGCAGACGAAGGAGTACTTCTGTTTCCTGAGAGCTCACACTGTGATCACAGCTTGGCTGGAAACTGTCATTTTCTTTAAAATAAGTCTTCAGCCCAATATAAAACGTGTCAAGAGGCTTTTCTGTTCCCTTTTCTTACCGTCATTACTAATTAACACACTGCAGAGCATAAGGCTGCTCCATGAGTGAACTGTTCTTTATGTGCTAGCTTTGCATGAGGCTGAAGATGACATGGAGGCTGCATTGTATGCTGTACATGATTCAGTGTCATATACTCTGCCAACTGAGGTTGAAAATGCAAATACAGGAGGAAAAATGGCAAGGCTTCCAAAACAGAGGTTTGACCACTCAGCCTGGCAGGCGTCTCCATAGTTACCAGAGAAACAGTAGCAGAAGGCAGAAAAAAGGAACCTTTGTTCATTTTGACACATTCATTTTTGCAATAGCACACCAACATCAATGTTATTATATGCAGACATGAAAGCAAGCCTTGTAAAACTGTAGGGATACAGGTTGACACTTAATTACAGATGACTTCCTATGGATCTAGTATATTAGAAGGGACACAGAGGCCCATTTCTCGTTTTACTTTAAGAAACTCTTACATTTTTCCATCAATAAATCATGACAAATTGTGATAGCTGTTTGTAGGAAAGGCCTCTGCCTGGAAAGAATGTGTTGTTTTTTAGAGCATGCTTGGTGTTACACATTTAACAAAATATCAAATAAAATGAAAAGTCAAATGGGCAGCTTTTCTAAAACCAAAATTCCTGTTGCATAATCAAAGAGGCAAATATTTGGAGTTTGATTGACTGTTAAGGGACTTAAACTGGGATCCTGTGTTTTGGCCAGATGAGAGCCAGATTCAGCGTTTAGCTACAAAATGGGTTCAGTCTAAAATAAAGATAGAATATGTAGAAAAGCAGCTCATGTACATTGTTAGAAATATGATGCTATGGGACCTTTATTCTGCAAAAGCACCATGTGTGGTCTGTATGGAGTTATACCATGTATTAGCATGAGTATCAAAAGCTAAGCGCTGGTGAAAATAAAACATGTATTCACTTTGTTTAGTTATTTTTTTCCCCTCCTGAATAATTGTGTTCAAACTAATCATGAGATTTTTTGATAGATTTTTTATTGCAGCTTATGCTACAGCATTTAACTTCACATGCATATTAAGGCTTTTCACACATATTTTTCAGTAATTATGGCAGGTGCTGTATGTAAGAAGAGGCAACAGAGAAATGCACTGGACAGATCTCAATGGGATCAGCTTTAAACTGACTAAAACCTTTGTAGATCATTTCTCGTGTATCTAGTTGTGCATCCACATCAGCAACACTTTTTTTTCTTTATTCCCAATGCGGTTACCATTTGGCAGGGACGTTTTCCTGTTCTTGTGCAAAAGATCCAAAGCGATGTTCTCGGAGGAAAGCCTTCCCATGACTCCTCACAAAGCTCTCAATGCTCTGCCCCCACCACCGTGCATGTCTGTAGCTGGTGCACTTAAACACGAGCGTCCTGCCAGCAGAATACACATGAATATGAACATGAGATGAAGTGAAATCATTTAAAGATGTTTGACATATATGGTTACATACCAGGGTATCAGTTCAATGTCAAAAGTCTAATCTGACCAAAAAGTTACATAAAAAAACGGCTCTTGGTGAAAAGCGTTATTAGAAATATATATATATATTTTTTGTTTTAGCATAGTTTTATTTAAGAAAACTTTAACATTTACCCAGTTAGAAGAAACAATTGTAAGTTTTGTTATGTTTGGCCTCAGGCATAATCAGAGATGGCAAAAGTACTCACTTGCCGTACTTGAGTAAAAGTACAGATACTTGTGTTAAAAAATACTCTGGTAAAAGTGGAAGTACTGATTAAACTTCTTTACTCAAGTAAAAGTAACAAAGTACAGGCTTGTAAATTTACTTAAAGTATAAAAGTAAAAGTAGAAACCACTTTTTTCATGCCGTTGCCTACATTTTAAATGGATGTCTGCCAATAGGATTAGATCTCCGTTGTGTTCATTTTCAATCATCTCGTCGTCCATGCTACTATGCTAACGCCACCGCCACCAAGCTGCAATGATTTGCCGCGAATGAATACCGCCGAATCTGTCGATTCATCTTGTAGTGGTGCATCAAATGACACATAGATTCCCATCCAATTAGATTGAATTTGGTATTGATGACGTGAAAAATAATAACGGTAACTCCATTGAAAGGATTCAAAACTAAAGTAACGAGCCAATTTTTTAAAATGTAAGGAGTAGAAAGTACAGATATTTGTGTAAAAATGTAAGGAGTAAAAGTAAAAAGTCGCCATAAAAATAAGTAGTAAAGTAAAGTAAAAATATCAGAAAAATCTACTTAAGTACAGTAATGAAGTATTTGTACTTCGTTACTTCCCATCTCTGGGCATAATGCACTATTTATTATTTATGCAGTAAAGCTTAAATATTAAATGACCATCGATAAGAAACAAACATGAGAAGCACAACCTGGAAAGGCTGTCAATGCGGACTCCATGTTGGGTCTCCGTGTCTTTGGAGTCCATCTTGATGCTAAACTCTTTGTCCACCAGCACGACGAAGGAGATGGCCCCCGAGTCTGGCTTCATGTAAAGCAAGAATGAGTCCTTGACCACCAGCCAGCTGCAAAACACACAAGGTTATGTTTGTCAGCATCATTAGCACCACCGTATCTCCTGTGTCTACATTTGCTAGTAGAAACCTCAGCTGAGAGAAGCATTTTTTTCACTTTTTGTTTAGAGGGAAGGGTGTGGGAAGAAAAACCATCAGTATGTCAAATGCTGTAGGTGGTTTGGCTAAGTACTGTGAACGTGTGGGATTTTTGAGTGGATATGTTGTCTTTTGAAAATAACATTTGAAAAATGGTTTGATGGTAGTTTGGATTGGATAAAGGGAAATATGAAAAAGAGGTGATGCTTATTTATATTTCAAAGAATTCTATAACAACCAAGAAGTTTTCTTATGTTAGGAAAGGAGACAAACATTTCTTTAAAGATAAAAGGATCTGAAATAAGTTTTTTATTCGAATGTGTTTTAATTTACATATTAATAAACAAATAGCCTCATAAAAATCAATTATACCTTTGTCAAAAAATAAGTGGATAATTTCCCTTTTGTTATTAGAGCGATGTAACCCTTCTAATAATCAGTGAGGGAATATTCGTATCTTGTGGTTTTCTCTATTTCTTTATTCAAGTCTTTGAGGTTGGAAGGCTTTTATTGTCACTCTTATCTTTAGCGCCGTCCACAAGTTCTCTTTTAGATTCTAATTAACACTCTGGCTGTGTCATATATGAAACGTTATTACTTCCTTTCCTACATCCATTCATCCGTAGTCGTAAAATGTATTCCTCCTTAAATTCAGGCTAAAAGTCAATTGATGAAACCAAAACCAAAATCCTGAGCACTATGCAACCCACTGCAAACACTACTTCAAGTTCGGAAATTTAGCACAAAAAAAAAAAACAAAAAACATTTTTTCTCTATAAAAGGTTGGAGGTTTATTTTGAGTCAGCAATATACTATATGCTTTGTGCACAGCTTATTTTTTTTTAGACAGGTGTCACTTATATTAATCTATTTGTATATGCACTAACATTTAGCTAATCCAAATCTCTCATCAGTTCTATTTTTGTGATATTTTGGAATGTCTGTTTTATAGATTTTCTTATCTATTATTAATTGTTTTCATAATAAGAAAGTATTTGCTTTGTTTTTTTGCCTCAGTTAATATTATATTTGTGAATCAAATCAGAATAACTAATGTTTTGATTGTGGGTTTGGTTGCAGATGTAGTGAGAATAAGTAGTAAACATTGGGAGAGATAATAGTCGTGTGCAGGGTTCCACATTTAGGCTCTCTGTCGCTACCGAGGCAAGTTCATAATTCAGTCACCTTACTGACTGTGGAAAAAACATTGAATTTCCAAAGGTGCAACAAAACACGGCAGATGAAGATTATGGGTCTGATCATAATAGAGGTTCTTAATGAAGAAATAAGATTTAAGATTCTAAACAAGGATAACAAAAACAGCACATGCATATTTCATGCATTACTTGAATGTAATTATAATTATTATTCTATTTAAAAAGCAAACAAAAAACAAAACAAATTAAAAACATGAATATTAACCCTGAGGCATTAGGGTTTTTGTATGAAGTGGAAAAAAATAGGTGGAAAAATAAAGCATAAAAATAAAACAAGCATGGATGTAAAGAGGGAACAGTAACTCACCGTTTTGACCAGCGATAGCAGGCCTGACCCTGACCACAGCAGTTCATTCCTGGAATACGATGTCCACCAGAGCGCTTGTAGATCATTCCTTCCCTGTTAATCATAGAGAATGGAAAAAATAAAATCCCTTTTCCGAGTTAACCTCTGCCCTGGGTATAAAAGCCATAACTGAAACATTCAAAATAAGAAACGTACAGTCCTTTGGGCCCCAAGTCATGAATGAAAGACAGCTGGCTTACATCAATGAACTCCATCTAAAAATACAACAAAAGAAAACAGTCTGGCTTTATGAAGGGATTTTTGTAAAATGACAATAACTGAGGAAAAAATTACATGGACAAGATATAGAAACAATATGGAAAGAATTTTTTTAATTTTAATTTTTTTTTTTTTATAATATATAATTTGTTAGAAAGAATAGAGAATAAATGGTACAGCAGTAGAACCATCATCAACTAAAAAAACATTCAAATATCTGTGAATTGATGTAGTTACTCACAGTATGGTGATATTTCCGATACATGGCCATCTTTAGAAGTGTGTTTAAATAGTCCTCCAACTGTCTCTATAGAAACACATAAGTTATATTGCAACACAGTTATAATTTTAATGATAAAATCTATGAATATAACCACCAACATGCGTAGAGGTATTGTCAGAGAGGGCTTAAAGAGAACACCAGTTGGCAATGCGTTTAGTGCCATGGCAACAAACGAGTACCAAGCGAGCATCTTGCAGTAACTATGTTATTAAAGCGATTCACCAAACTTAGAGATCACAAAGAGGAAGCACAATCAGAACAGTGCAACTTACTCTCCTGCTGGACACTTGCTCATCTCGGACCAGCTCGTCTCCTCCTCCCCTGGGTAAGGAGGGCATCTCCCTCACCTCGCTCTTCCTCATAGTCTTCCTCCTCACAGTGTGGCTGGGGGGCAAAAAACAAATTCTCAAACTAAAAAACACATGCTCACTTGCATAGAGGGAGTATTAATAAAATCTCCAAGTCAAATCGTTTTCACACAAATGAAGCCGATTATGCAATTAAAAACTTTTTGTAGCTCTTCAGTCCTTGTGAAATGCTTGCTTTGTGAATCATGGTCATAGAAAATATAGATAGACTGAGTTACAGCTCTGAATCAGCATAATAGATAAAAAAAGACGAGATGTTGTTTTCCGTATTTCTATTTTTGTAACAGGAAGTGATTCATAAAAAATAAAAACCTTTTGCCCAAAAGCTCTGCACAAAAGGACTGAAAAGCAATTAAAAGGAAATTTGCACACTGAAAACATCAAAAGAGTTAAGCAGTGATATTTTTTCAATAGCCCTTTCATGTTTGAATGTTTTAAAGTGAGTGTTATTTTAGTCTTTATGCCTAACAATTTAACTCATTCAAAATGTCTGTTTATGTGTTTTCAGTTTAATATTTTAAGTTTTCCTATACAGTAGAAGTCGTGTTGATCCAAGTGAACAAAATTACACATTATCTACATATTTTTTGTGCATCAGCGCTGCATATATTTAGCATTGATTTGGAGCAGATTGTGAAAGATATGAGTACCGGTAGCTGAACTTTGAATCTGTATAAACACATTCTTTAAAGGTGCCCTTGTTCCAAATCAAGTATAAGCTCAGGGTCCCCATCACAGCATGTTTGAGTTTCGGCATTCCCGACCGATCCTGTATTGATCCCTTTGGTTAGAACTTTTGCTAGATTTATGTTAGGTTCTCACCCTTCGAATTAACCGTATGGGTAATTTACTCCGCCAGTCATAGAAAAAAACTTGGGTACAGAACTAATTATGTCATTGATCCACTACATCTTGATTCACCCCATGCAATGTGTATAGTTTTTAATGCTTTTGCTGCAAGTTTAATCATTTGTTTTAGAAAGACCATGCTGGCAGCAGACTCTACAGTTAGTTTAGCTCTTCAGCAGCCTGACAGAAGCAAAAAGACATAGGTGTACTAAAGAATGTCTAGCCATATATACAACATATTTTATAAATTGTTGTGATACATCACCAAATCAATTAAGTCTAGATATTAAAATCATCTGTTTGGCAGATTTTCAAGTTTTGTTTGGAGAAATGTAAAGCATTGGGATAAATTATAGTAGAGGCTACAATTCCTTCTCATATACTGTAGTCATGAAGAGGGAACCATATCAGACCCAAAACAGGTTATAGGCAAATATCTTCAAAATATTATAAGTTTGTTTTTGCATATCAAACAGTGCACCTTTGAGCACTAATGTATCTACTGTATAATTTCTTTGTTAGTGCCTGCACTAACCTGCGTGATGGAAGTGGTATCCTCATCAGAGTTTTGTATGTCCTCATCTCTCTGTGCAGCTCCAGGAAATGCTTCTCCTTCCTCTTAACCAGCCAGGTAAATTCTCCATGTTTCATCTCGATCTTAAACACGGCTGGCAGAGACTGTAAACACACACATCTCACAATCAGTTAAGAAACAAAAAAAAAAAAAAAACTCATCATTTAAGATGATTAAAAGTGTACCAGAATACCTTGTTGACACTCCGGTGTTGTGATAAGTTGAAGCGGTCCTGTGCAGTGGTGAACCGTTCCACCTCTAGGATCTTGGCAGTAATAGGCACAGTGGGTAGGTAGACCCGTGCATTGGCCTCTCTAAAGCCCACTGTTCCATACACGGCTGAAAACGGTATGCGGCAGTCCCCTAGGAGCAAAACCAACAGCAGGTGGTTAATGTTGAGCCTGTTCTTACATGTAGGAGATGTCCAGGCTTCTTAAGAGCGAGTAGGCTGCATTACTAATTCTTCCTTAGTGCAATATTTTTCTGTAATACGATTGCTTGGAGTTAAGGGTGATAAGCGTTGAAATGAAAAACCTTTGTTGTCCCCTAGCAGGAACATTTTTGCATGATAATGGTAAAAAAAAGGAGAAGTAGACAGAACACACCAGACTTACACATTGGATGAAATGATATAAAGCAGAGGTAACAATCAAAAATCAGCGGGTTCAGAAAAAAGAAAATCATGAACCAGTAAAGGTCCTGCGACATTTTTAATTATAGTCTGTTACTTTAAACAGAATTTAACACTGAAATAAAATGAGGTTTTTATGCCTCCATGTTATATATTGAATTTTAAATAAAAAAAACTACAAACAATTTTCCATTTTAAAATCTGAAGTGTTTTTTGAAGTAGAGAACAACAATCGTTCAGTTTGGTATATAGACAATTTCCTGATTCACATATTTTATAAAACACCTGAACTGACTGTTTCTTTTTTCTTTCTTTTTTCTGGCTTAATGAGAGCAGTTGGCTTTATGCTGCCATTCTTAAGCACATATCAAAGTGCTCATTTTGTGCCTGGATGGATATTTATTTTTAATTATGGTAATGGTGGAGAATCCTGCTTCACAGCAGTAGCCAAAAGAATTAAAAATGTGCAGGGTCAACTTCAAGCACACCATTTCACTTTTCTTTCACTAGTTCACCGCAGTTCTTTCAGCAGTCCCTACTTTCTTTGCTCTCTTTTTCTCATCGTCTTCTCCTTCTTTCCCATCGCCTGGCTTGCCACAGGTTTGCCTGCTGTGTCTAAAAGTAGCAGCAGCAGCAACCCAGACTGACAGCAGCTCATTGGCTCATTTGTATCACGTGTAGCCTGGAAAGCGGCGCAAGTGAAGTTAGACACTGTTGTTGGACAACTGATGTGATCATTTATAAATGTTTTAAACCAGGTTGGGTCCGGATCAGCCAGCAGGTGGGTCTGGATCCGGACTACGGTCCGCTAATCTGTGACCTCTGCTATAAAGCTTGGCCAACCCTTTTTCTTTTAACTACAATGAACTACTGCTACAAAATACAAAACACATAAGATGGTTGATTTTACCTGAGAGTAAAAGATAAGGTTTTTAGTTGTGTGACCTGCAACCCGACAAAACCTCAATCTCCTTAGCATTCTACTTTACTGACCCGTCTTGTAAATAGCATCAGTGTTGTGACTCCAGTCCAATAGGGGTCCTTCACATAAAAAACATTTTAACAATTGTACAAAACATACTTTATTTGGACAAGCCGCCCGCAATCACCATGATCAAAGTGTACAAATAAATGAATGAATAAATAATGAATGAATAAATAAAAAATGTTTCTGCTTTTTCAGAACCCTAATTATTGCAGCTGGGACTAAGGATCTAATAACAATAATAAAAATTTAACTTTAATCTCACAATGGAGAAATTCACTTCTGCACCTTAACCCATCCCCTTGGGGAGCAGTGGGATGCCACTGTGCAATGCCTGGGAAGCAACAGGTTAAGGGTCTTACTCAGGGACCCAGAGTGCAGGCTGTGGGCCTTCAACACAGGACCTCAGGATACCAAGAACAGTGCCCTAACCACTAGGCTGCCACTCCTACAAATATGAACATATGTGGAATTTGAAAGGTTAAATTATTGTTTGATACTATATTGCTGAATACTTATAAATTTACTATAATAATGTATGTATAAAATCAATAGGTTATTAAATAAAACAACTAATAGTCATCTCTTTCATGGTGTAAGTACAGTAAATGTGTGATAATATGAGCGGCAGGGTTATCATTTACATAGTGTACATTAGTTTGTCACCCCTCCCCCCCTCCCCCAAGTAGATGTTTAGTACACTTGTGAAAATTAACAACCCTTAACTCATAAGAGTAAAGAAAACATTTCTTTTATATCGAAAGTGAGAGTTTAACTGTCTTTTAGACAGTTTTTTTTTTCTTTTGCCCATATACAACAAAGCATTAGTGTCACTTGGGAAGAAAAATGAGGAGGGAGTATTTTTGTTGCTCACCCCTTGTAAGGAATATCAGTGAAGAATGGCAGGACAAACACTTTAAACATATTATATTTTCTTTACTGGTAACAACCAACAATAGTTACAGGAAGTTTAGGATTTTTTCAGATTGTAGGGGGTAACCACATTTCTTCAGGTCAATCATTGTAGAGGTAAAAGCATAAACTTACTCACACATATTCAAATATGGGAGAACAGTTTCAGCACTTGCTTCATTGTTTGCCCATGTTTGCAACATGTTCAAGCAGAAAAACTAGAAGTTGTACAAGAACATTCTGCAGTTCGCTAGCCTGTGTTTTATTTTAATGAACCAGATCAATTTTCCTAGCTCTCATAAATGTCAGTTTATTCCATGATAGATTAGTAAATACACACCCAAGTAGTTCCCATCATAGTCGATCTCCTCTCCCTCCTCGAGGTCCAACTCTCTGGCATCCAGGCTTTCCACAAGGTCGGCCATATTGATACCGTCATATGTGTCCGAAGCTGCTGAGGTGTCAGAAACTTCAGAATTCACCAGGTCAAGTTTACTGGTAGTTGGCTGATCCTTGCCAAGCATGCTTAGCAGTCAGACCCTGGAGCAGGGCACACCTGTAGGAATAGAGAAATCATTATGACATTACAGTCATTTCCTCGTGAATGGATTTAAGATTAATACATTCACTTCCTTAAGTCCACACTCCCACATGGGAGGGTCAGTCTTTTGACTTTTGACCTCAATGATTGCATTCTAACCCAGTTGCTCTATTTTGAGTCAGAAAACCATCACAAGTATTTATGTAGGCTCTCAGACAAACGTGCACAAAAAGACACAAATACCATTCACACAGCTATGGTAAGATGACTATAGACTAGCCATTGAACTTGGTTAGTTAGCTTTTTTCTAATTAAAATAGTAAGATCATCAACTAACTGGCTCCTGTAAAAAAAAGAAAAAACAGCTCCTAGTTTCGTGGAAAAATTAGGTGTGATCAATTTTATCATCATTGCCCTCAGAGAGGAAAAACTTTAAAGGCAGCTGATAAGATTAAAGATGAATTACTTTATATAGAACTTGAGTGCAGTGCGTCACGCATCACTCCACCTTATCAAATTCCTTTTGATCTACTTATCAAGTATATAATTATAATTGTTTTTCACCTTTAAACAATACAGACTAAAGCTCATGGATAAAACAACTCGTCTGGCTCTGCTTGTTCAAGATCCTCTTGTTAAAGTTTAAAAATCCTTTCAAATGGACTTTTCCATAAGATAATGGACCTGTTGGTTTCGTTAATCTGAGCAGTGGGGATGGGTTGGAGGGTCGTAAAACTGGTTTGTAACAATCTGCTTTTATATATATACACAGAAAAATGGATTTAAAATTTTCAAAGGCCAAATGATTTGAAACAGAAGCTGTATGTATTGGTGGGAATCTGTCACGTCCAACACTCTGAATTGTTAAGGTTCTCCAGACCAGTCAGAATGAGGAGATTTGTTTTTCTCATGTGCAAAGGAAAGATTTTTAAGAGACTATTTGTCAGGCTTTTACTTTTGCTTTGGAGAAAATGCATTTGTTATTTAACCCTTTTCCTTGGTCCACAGAGAAGAATCTGGAGGAATGTCTTCCTAAAAAACCCAACCAGTACTCAAAAGAAACTCCTGCAGCTGTTTATGTGTTGCTGTGATGCTAAGTAGTTCCCTTAAAGAGTCTGTACTTGATTTTCACTTTTTAATGTCTCAAAGAAAATTTCTTTTTGCATTGTATACGGGTGGCAGAGGAAATAATTTTATTACCGTAGTATGATGCAATTGCAATATGCAATCAATGCAATTGTAGTGCAGGCTACTAACTTTAACATGATAGTTTTCTCTGCTAATGGGGTTCACTCTCTGACGCCTAGTAAACAGAAGCATGGCGGATAACAATGGGAAAGTTTGGATATCTCTGCAGTCACTGCAAGAATCAAAATAATCTGAAAGGGTCACAAAGGAGAAAGAGAAGAAAAACTTGAAATGCAAGAATGACCAATGAAGGAACAAAGCTTGGGTCAAGAATTTTAGAGGCGGGGCATACACTTTAAACTAAACTGTTCTCCTCGCTCATAGTTTAAAACTGTGCAGAATCATACACAGAGCCTTTAACTGCTTTCTGTCTTATAGGTTATAGAAACACAACTTTAGTTATATCATTCAAATTAATTATATACATTTTGAAAAATCCTGGGTGTTCCACCAGTAAAGACTGAGTGAAAGGTGTTTCAATGAAGTACGAGTTTATAGAACTGAACACTTGGTTAGTAAGGTTAAGGCAGCTTCTTTTTTTCCTTTTAAATTTCTACCTAAAATATTTTTTTGTCTTTCAGTTGAATTTTAACGGATTTATGTTACATTAATGGTGGAAAAACTTCACATTGCTAAATCCACATTGTTAAATCTCTATATGTTCATCCCTAATTTGTACTTTGACAACATCTTTGACTATGAAGTTATTTTTTTTTCCTCATTACATATTTTTTTATATAATTTTTCTTCTTGACTGTCTAATTCCACTTTGATCTAATCCATATTTGATGCTGTGAAACAGTCTATGATTACAGTAGCTCAAAGTAGTAAGTTAGTTATTAGCTGAACTAATTAGGAAATTGGTCTAACCCACTTGTTGTTCAAGGCTTCTGAAGGGTGAATGGAGTGAATTTTAGGCAGGAAAAGCACCTTTTTACATTGTATACCTAAGCAGCAGATGACATTTCAGGTTCACTTTAAATTCCAATGACAGGACCAAACTTTCTTTTTTCTCTCAATTTGTAATCTTAGGGATGCCTTTTTTCTGGTCATGGTCACTGGTCATGGTGTCCAGGATCTCTATCAACACCCTGAACATTATAGTTAATTTACCACTCTTCCCTAGAGACACATACACAGACACATCCCTGAAGATAATTAGTGCTGTCTTTTTTGACCTTCAGCTAAGGTGTTGAAATAAAAGATAACAAGATCAGCTCTAAATGAACAATAGAGAAGACAACAACATTATGCTCCCAGATTCCCAAAGCTTGGACAGTTCTTTCTGTTCTCATTATGGACATTATCATATCTACATTAATATTTTTCAAAAAAAATTTGTAACCCATGGCATTATTACCTGACAGTTGTGCTAACCCACAAACATTCTTCACTGCATGAAAAGTGGGATTTTCGTCAATATACGGCACTGTAGATTGTCGTGGAACTTCAGGTTAGCGGCAGTTTACGGCAATTTGCAGGCTTCGCCGAAAACTCCCGTAAATTGTCAGAAATTGACGTGGAATTTCTTAGGCAGTGTTCCCCCCATGCCTCCCCCCCATGGAATTCTAGGGGAGGCTTTAACATGTAAATGAACATGCTGTGAGCTATACAAATGCAAACCAGGGTTGCAGGGGGGGTTTTACCCCAAGTGACATCTTTCTGGGTAAGAAAATCTCTGATACAAAGAGATCAGGTATAGCCTCTTACATTTTAGCTTGAATTGATTTATTTAATTAAAGTATAGAGACCAAAACAGATCTTTAGCTGACAGAGCAATACATTTAGAGCAGTAATTATTTTTTTTTTTATTTGCATTTAAGATAAAAAATAAAATGTTGTCTGCCAATATGCTCAATTCACAATTACTTAAGTGGAAAAGTTTCAAGAAATGATTCTGAGATGATTCACTTTATAACATGGCGCATTATCCTGTTGGAAGTAGCCATCAGAAGATTGGTACACTGTGGTCATAAGGACATAGGTCAGCATGCTAAATTGGTATTAAGTGGCCCAAAGTATGGCAATAAATATCCCCCAAATAGATGGTAGAAATAGATCAGGCTCAGTATAGCCTAATTATAGACTCTTACATTTTAGCTTGAATTGATTTATTTAATTAAAGTACGCTAGATTACTATGTATGCAAATGTTATGTAAAAAAAATACACAAAATAATTTACTTCAAAAATTAGTTTTACTCAGAATCAGTTGGCTGTAATGGTTAATTTTTTTTTTTAGATTTCCACTTATTTTTTTTTTTTTTTTTGTTATTGAATATATAAGAAAACAATAACAATCTCAAATAACAAGTCAATAACAAATATTTCAATACAAGAAGAAATATCACAACTCCTGCTTTTGAAAAATAAAATTAAATGCACAGGCTGGAACAAAGTATAAAATAAAATAAAATAAATAAAAATAAATAAAATAATAATAGTACTTAAAGTAAATTAATCAGTGGGGACTACCAACTGAAATTCTTCAATTAACTCAAACAATTTAATTGCATTTAAATTCTGCATCTTTCTCAGACATCTTTTGAAAAGGGAAAGTTCATTTTTGAGAGCAGAGATTGAGAGGGAGCATTTTGCATAGCGACATTTATGGATATAATACTTTGTTACAATTATTAGAATATTGATTAAAAATTCAAATTTTTTTTTCTTTAATGGATAAACCGAATTGAATGTTTTCCCAGGAAATAAAATCTAAATTTATTGTTTTAGAAGACAGAAAGGTTCGAAGTTGATCCCATAAGTTTAATACTTCTTTACATTCATAAAAAAGATGTTTAGTTGTTTCCAATTGAGTTGTACAAAAGCCACAATTCTCAACATTAAACTTAAATCTCTCTCTTAAAAACTCATTTGAAGGATATATGTTATTTATTATTTTAAATTGTAATTCTTTATATTTAGGAGGAATTGGGAATTTCAAATAATTTGTCCTAATTTTGACTATCATAGATTTCTTAAAATTTTGTAAGAGAGCTGTGCTTTTTGTTCTTCCTGGGTACATATTATTTATAGAATATTGATTCAAAAACTTGTTGTTGCATTTATTATCTCTAATGTCCACCTGCTCAAATTCAATCTTATGGAGACAAACAATTGCAATTGCAAACAATTTATAGGTGCATTACCGCCACCTTCCAGAATGGAGCGACGCGAGCTCTTCTCGCGAGTCCTTCCGTATAACAATGACGTCGTATGTGATTGGAGGAGCCTGATGAGCCTCCGGCCCCATCGTCCAATCACGTGTGAGCTTTTGTGCACTTCGACTACTCGCGAGACCAGCATATTAGCAGACATGTTTGTGTTACTATACTCAGAAGAACTTCATCTCCAGTTACCGTGTTTGTATTTTGTTGTTACGTGAACAATGGCTGCACGACGTCTCGCGTTCAACTCGCCTCCAACTGCTCTTAGTCCACAACTTTCGGCCAGCCCGCAGACTGACGAGAAGAAACTGCTGATTGCTATCAGCGGACTGTCTCGTCAGCTTGCCCAACATACTGCCGACATGAATGAGCGCCTCACTCTGCTGGAGAATTCGATGCACTCCAGGTTGTAGTCCATAGAGGACAAGATGGTGGCTCTGCAGTCGAGCAACTTTGCAGGATATACGAACTCGAGGAAGAGAAGACGGGTGCACAACGCCATGCTAGCGGTAAATATATGTTCGATTACTGGTAGCTATGCTAAAAGCAGCCTAGCTTAGCTAGGCAAGCTAAAGACAACCTAGCCTAGCTAGGTAAGCTAAAAGCAGCCTAGCCTAAAGCTTTATTAAAGTGTATTTTTTGTGATTCACAGGAAGCAGTA